TTTTCAAAACATAGCCTTTTATGAAGACAGACGCGGCAGTGACAATGGGAGGAACTAGAGTTTATTTTGCCATAAGGTAGTATGATTATGCTAGCACGAGTATTTGCTAGTCTCAGTACTGGAGAAATTAGCGTTTGGATCGCATTGTGAAGCGCTTTAAACGGCCCCGCAGGCACCGCCACTGAGTAACAGCCATGCCGAGTATAACGTTGGAATGCAGACCTGGTAGTTCTGAAAGGCATTTCTGTGAGGCCAGTAAACACACACATCACTCCCCTATAGTAATTATGCTGTTATGTATCAATAGTAGCATGAAATTTAATGCTACCATTGAGAAGCAAAACCACAAATTTGATTAGTAATTAGGTGTTTATTTAATTGTTTTGAACAGGCATCACGAGCTGTCATCCTCAACAAAGCTACAGAATACATTGACGACCGAATGCGTAGCAGAAACAGCGGTCCACCAGAAAGACATAGACACACTCAAGTCACAACAATCAATTGCTAGAGTCGGCAAGGTAATCAAACATCTACTCCTATTTTTCATAGTTTCATAAAAGTGGAATTTGTGCTGGTACGTATAATACTCAGGAGCCTGGCTTCATTTTAGCTCATCTGACATAGTCAGATGCAGCTTGTAGAATCGCATGAGCGTGCGTCGTCCGTCCGTCCGTCAAACAGTTGGGCACAAATCTAAACGGCTCGACGTACGGATTCGAAAGTCGGGACGTGGGGGGGTAAATCCGAAAACGAGTTGGGATGTTGAAGCTGTGGGGTCAAGGTCAAAGGTCAAGAGGTGTAAATGAAGCGGGAACATTCCGCTCCTTAACTTAAGGTAATAGGGAGGAAAAATGACAGAATTGCGGCAGCAAATCTAAAAACGCTCGATCTAGCTCGTGATAGTCGGTGTATAGGCATCATGGTAGGAAAAGCCATCACTGTGGCTGAAATTGGAGGTCAGCAGGTCAACAGGTCAATGGGGCACAGGGCAGATTTTAGACATTTTCTGAGGACATGGTGTGACGGAGCGATTGAAAAACTTTTTTGTTTCAGCGGTGAGGCTAGCATTTTATGGGCTTTATTGAAAGGACCAATGAAATGTGCTTTCCACTGACGTGCGAAGAATAAGTGTCTGATAACCTTTTGACCCTCAGAGAGGAGGGATTTAAACATGGATTTGTTAACTGTTACTGTGTTAGAAAGAATTTGACTGCTGGGGTTTGCTAGTCGACAATCTAATACATGCCTGGATGTATGGAGGCTAACCCATGTCACAGTGAAATTTCAAAAGCTAAATATTGCTCTGAAGAAGGTATTATAGCCCCTTAAATCGTATACATTTCTATGGCAATTTTCTGTAGACCTGTCAGTGTGGTTAATACTGCCCAAGCTGCCAACAGGGCCACTTGGCCAGTGCCCGAAGTTGCGTGATGGTGATAGTATGGTGGTACCATTTTTGCCCTGCGTTAATTAGGTACAGGTGGCAGCTTCTCTATTTCAGCCTGTAGGCTTGTGTAAGGTAAATGGACGAGTGCTTCGCCTATTCTGTCTTGCAAATAGTTGTTACATACTACGACATGAAGCTTCCGAGCTGACCCAACGTACGCGCCATCTACGCTGGCAACTTCATAACAACCCAACGAACATTTCTTCGAGATAGGCTCCTAGATCCATACATGCAGTGTTTGAAATAAGGGCTATCCCGTTTGTTGCGTACTTGTCGCATTTCCACGGAGGACAAGTAATCTGTGCCAGGTAGTTTTGTCTGCTGGTCAAGCCAGCTTTTTAGGCTAATTTTTCAATAATTTTCTAAGCGGCATCGCTGGCCGCTGCTGGAAACCCGAGTTAACATAACTATAAACATGGGCCTGCCGGAGTGCACCCCGAATTAACATATACTATAGTATCGAACATTTTATGTGAAGTAATATAAAAACGTTCCCGCCGTTGCTAGCTCCACGAAACGGTCTTGCTAGGGTTAGAAGACATACAAGACAATCAGACGTCTGTATAGACAATCAGTCGTAGCAGCCTCGTCTGACGGCAGCGACTAGATGCCACGCGAGAAAGAGAGAGAAATTGGAGAAAGAGGGAGAGAGAGAGGCGAGGGAGAAGTGGAGAGAGTGAGAGGAGAGTGATAGCCGAAGAGAGAGAGAGAGAGAGAGAGAGAGAGAGAAGAAGAGAGAGATAGCTGAAAGAGAGAGAGAGGAGAGAGAGAGCAGAGAGAGAGAGAGGAGACGAGAGAGAGAGAGAGAGCAGAGAGAGGAGTGATAGAGAGAGCGAGAGAGAGAGAGAGAGAGAGAGAAAGAGAAGGAGAGAGAGAGCGCGCGAAGAGTGTACCCTGGTACTATCTAATATGCCGGACCGTACCTCGCCTACTCCACTAACGAGTCTAGGGAGTCGCCTACGCCTACTCCCTAACCCTAACCATATCAGATAGTTACCAGGGTACGTTCCGGTATACCGGACTGTACCCAGGGTACGTTCCGGCAGTACCCTGGGAGACATAAACTCTATCAGCATTAGTAAGCATTGAGCGCATATATTGTGATCTTCATACTTACCACACATGTAACATCGTTGACAGAAGTTCCCACACGAAAAGGTGGATACGGTCAACATGATAAAAGACATGGCATACACAAAAACATGTATGAATCAAATGCAAAACCCAATCTAGATTTCTGAGTAGGTACACTGTAAGGATTTGTGATTCTTAAACTGAGGACACTGGCATTACACATGGGCATTGTTTAGATACAAATTTTCAACGAATCACATTTTTACCTTTGCGACTATGCCATTTTATTTTCGTGAACAATTCTGCATGCTTTATATCACAGTATCTGTACAAATGCACAACAGAAGCAACACAAACAATATAAACGATACGAATTTATATTTACCTAACAAGGGCCTTTAAATACGGAGCTTTTAAAGGGACATTGGTGAAAAACCTATTTAAAAGTTCGTTCGAACGAAAGTGTTCTAAGAAACCACCGCAGCTAATACATACATAAACAGTAGAAACCGTTTACAAGAACAACGATATGAACACGTACAGACAGTAAACGTCCCTGGGCCATATATAGATGCATCAGCAATTTTTGCCCATCAATGTAGGTACAACTGTAATTGGCTTAATGGGAAATATAAATCTATTGATGCCAAAAAATGTGCCACTCTCTGAAATCAATATTTTCCAAGTAGGTATAAACCTTTTGCTGAGAATTGCCGTCGTAGCTTTCGTTCCTGGTGTTGTAATTCAACCTTTGACATTTTGTTAACAATGTACATACTTCATTGTTGTACACTATTGGTTTAGATACAAAAAAACATTCCCCGTTACCCGTCATAAATGTTTAGAATCAGATTTAGTGATTTGAGTTTTAGTTACTATTAAATTAATGACCATAAGAAACATAGATATGCTGATATAGTGGTACGTAGATTTTCATCATGTGATAGCGTTTTCCCGCTCTCACCTGTGAAAGGGTGGTAAAACATTAAATAGTCTGTTATATTGCCAGAAACCGTTGGAAAATTGTTTGAAAACGTTAATATTGAAATTAAATTAAAGTATATTCAATTGTGAAATTCCCAAGGCTGAACGAAAAACAACGTGAAGCTTATTGTGATAAGTTTTAGTAATCACGTGATAATATTTGTATAATAATATACAAGCGCGTGTACGCATGCACGCACACATACACATGAGCGTGTGAATTCAGAGTATTCTGAGAAATCAAAGTACTAGATCATGTCTTCTTGCAGGGGCAGATACATGGCACTGCGTCAACGAGTGTGGCGTTAGCCTAGCGATGAACAGCCGTGTCTTCGCATGCGAAATATATCATGTATGAGCCCTGATGTAGAAAATTATCTCGCAAAAACAAACTGTCGTGTGGAATCAAAATTAGCTTTGACAATGTGATGTATTAAGTAGTTCATACTAACATGATACGATTCGTATTGCTGTAATATATAAAGAACATTCGCCTTTTGGAACCGTTTATATTTATGTGGAACTTTTTCCATCCGAACAAACTTTTTTCCTTTGAATGAATATTTTTCCCTTTGAACGAAGACTTTTTCTTCGCATGAACCTTTCTTTCATACGAACTTTAAAAAAAGTCACTTATGTCCTGCTAAAAGCTCTGTATTTAAACGTTTGACATCGTCGACTATCTGGAAGTGATCATGTTGTGGATGACAATGATAGCCTTTACGCACTATAAAAGTATTGATATCTATCAACACTGTTGCTTGTGCAAATATATCAAATACTCAGTAAATGTCCAAGTGATCATGCATTGAAGCTTTTTAGCATCATTATAGTCATCAGGTGAAATTGATGCACACATATTTTGCACTAAAATTCCACTTAATTTTTTTAACAACTTTAATACATCTGCCTTATGGGTCATAATTAGTTTAGACAAATCTTACGATATCAACAAAAACCACCAAAATACGACACTCATTGATTATGCAAGTATGTTAGCATGTGGTAATTCTCTCTAAGCTATCGACGCTTATATGTTATACATATATTCAGTTATTAACATGACTTTATTTATATATTATTGTAGAGTTGGTTTACTTTGTTCATATATGCTTGTAGTTAGTTTAGTTTTCGTGCACCCAGTTTCATGGCACCACCACCTGCTTGCCGCATCGCCCTCTTCTCTGCTAATTCACGTTGCCGCTGCAACCTTTTTTCTTCCCTTTGCCTTTTTGCATCATCTGGCTGCTTGCTTTTGTTGTCTAGAAAGGCACATGCAAATATATTTTATAACATCAAGATCTACTAATATAGTGCTGGTGTAAACATCTAGAGCCATAAGTTTGTGTCAGATGCAGATAATAAATTTAATGAGTCCACCAACCTGCTATTCCCCAGCCACTATCATCCCATTCACCCCTACCAGTGTTCCATTCATCACTACTAGATGGCACTGCCGTTTGCTTTGCTGAGGGATAGGAATTGGCTTCTGGAATTGATGTTGGCTGGCTGGTTGTTTGTTGACGTTTCCCAACGTTTGATTTAACCTGTTTTATAAAAATTTGTTAGTTAAATTTGTTATTGTTCGCGGTGTGAAAACCACCCAATCACAGTACGTATGTAACTTACCACTAGCAAGGGAATGAATTACATCATACAACATCTCAAGTTACATTATAAACTCATCAAAGTAACTTTTGGAAATAATTATTTACACACGTGTCGCTAAAGAGTAATTCTTTATGCTTAAAAGCAGACAACCCTAGTTAATATATTTCATGTTTGAGCCTATTTACTCAGAAGAAATGTATTTAAGCTCATTTATGTTTAATCCACTGTATTCAGTATTACTTTTACGTTTACTCCGATCCTGTCCACTACCATTTTTCCAAACTTACGGCAAGTTCAATATATTACCATACATTATACGCAAAGAATGTATTCCGCTCCTCCAGCTACTCTGACCAGTGTTTCTTAGTACAGAACTACAATCTAGGAGTCTGATTCAATTTCAATAGCCACAATAACCATTTTAAAGTACAGTGCATGAAAAGGCTTCACAATCAGTTGGCATAAAACTCGCCTCAGTTGAGCTGGCAGTTGTAGAAAAGAAATCCGCACTTGCGGGAGGGTTCCCCCAATTGTAGGCACTTGCTGGAATTGTGGTTGAATCTTTCACTGCAGAGAAATCTTTCCCTCCCCAGTCGTTCCAAGGATCCTGAGACTTCTGCACCTGTAAACAGGCTATGTTTGTAAAATATCCAATTCATGGCATTTTAGTGGGATTCTTGTAATGATATATCAGTGAAAACACCGTACCATACCTTTGTGAGGGTCATGGTACCACTTTGTTCTGCCAACCTGTCTTGAAAGCCATGGGGATTTACCTGTAAATGTATCATGCACATGCAGTCCCAAACATGCAAAAGTTGAGTAGATAGAGTAAACTAGGGTGAACCAGTTAATGGCGAGTAAATATGCGGCACAATTTAAATCGGAATAAATTTATCACAGTGCACAGCTTACGTTCCATTAGCAATATGTATTGAAGTTGTAACAGCTGATGTGATGCTTGATTTCTAAACTAGGATCAAAGCGTGCATCACACATAGCTCCGTCACCCCACATTTAAACGAAGAGGCAATAGCAATTTATGGTAGTGAGTGTGTGCACAGAGGTTAAATATTGGAGATATTTCATTGATCATATCACAGAGCATATGCGTGAAACCTACTTACTAGTTAACCAACTACACATAATAAATTTCAACATGATGCCCTCATGAGATTTTCAGAGTTGCACATTAATTTATCAACATTATTAACCTTTATCTCTGCTTTGAGCAATAGCTTTTAGTTGTTAAATACGTTAGTGACATGCTAATAAGGAAAGAATACTTGTTATGATAAGTTGTATAATAACAAAAATCAAACAAATAGATTAGTGATATTTTTTAAATGAATGTTGAGCAGAAACTTTAACTTCATATAATAAGAAAAGCTGCTGCTAGGAGTAGTCTGATTAACTGATTCATATCAAGTTCACATCTCTGTTAGTTACTTACGACAGTGGGCTCTTCTAAGCTTCCCCACTCTTCCTCTTCATCTTCTGCATCATCTCCCCAGTCGCCTTCATTACCCCAACCATCATCTGCTACAGGTGATGCAACAGCCAATCTAGATCTCTCTGTAGTCTCGATATGCCCACCTTCCGGTAACCTGCTTGGACCTGGCCGTTCAGTGGTCTGTGTTGACAAGTCCTAGAGACAAACATATATTTACTACTAATTTCTTGTGCTCCTATTTATTAGATAAGCTCCACATTATACATACAGCAGGACATTAAAAGATACAAGCGATGATTACCCCCATATCTCCCCAATCTTCAGCATTGCTCCATTTATCTCCGTCCTCGTAGTCTGACGCGTCATCCTCTGCAACGTCCTTGGGTACTGGTGCTGCTGGCTGCCGACTCCGAGCATTAGATGGCATACTCGACTTTTGAGAAACTTGTGCCTTGGTTGCTAAATCAGAACTAATTATTAATCAAACAGAATGGCTGCTTGGCTTCATCTTTTTTTATTTATCACAAATATAATATTATCAGGAGTAGATTAGACATACTCAATGGCTAATCTACTCCAGAATTTACGATGCTATGCCAATCAAAACGCTGCTTATCAAAAATGCCATAAAAAATGTCAAGTTACTGCTTATAATATTTGTTACCTGTAATTCCCATACAGATGCCAACCAAATAAGCAAGGAGCATCGGAAGTATGTGAAAACAAGAGCCGCAGAGTGTCTGGGCTCATCTGAGGTCTGTTGCTACGATTATAAACTTAACATTTAAGTCGTGCGTAGTGACACCTTTGTTAGGCGCAGATATGCAGATACGCAGTTGAGTACACATCATTTCAGTAACCTTCTGCATTCTGCATACCTCCCAAATCCCATTGGTCGATACAAATCGCGTGCCTGAAACTCCTGTTTTATGGTGCATACAAATTATGTGACCCTAACCCTAACCCTATTAAAAAAAATAAAAATAAATTGTTGTAAAAATCATTTGTTGTTATTAAATTGTTGTAAATAAATCATGTAAATATTTGCATTAATTGGAAAAAAAATTGTTAAATGAATAAAGATAGAAAAATACAGAAAACAGGTAAATAATAAAACATCAGATGGGATTCGATCTAACGACCTTTGAGCCGTGACGCCTGTGCTGTATGCGTTCGGCTATCCAGGCTTATTGGGTTTCTAGATTATGGATGTGCCATGAATATGACAACACTGTGACGTCATTGAGGCAGTTCAGGAATCCATGTTTAACCCTCCTCTTGAGGGTGAAAAAGTTATCAGACACTTACTCTTCGCACGTCAGTGGAAAGCACATTTCATGGTCCTTTCAATAAAGTGATAAAAATGGTAGGTCAGCGCTGAAACAAAAAAGTTTTTCACTCTGTCCATTAGGCCATGTCCTCAGAATGTCTGATATCTGACCTTCCCCCCCCCTGCCCTTTGACCTGTGACCTCCAATTTCGCACTGGTGATGGGTTTCCTACCCATCGCACTATACGCCGAATATTAAGAGCATAGGTTGAGCATTTAAGATTTGTGCCGCAATTCCGTATTTCCTCCTATACCTTAAGTTAAGGGGGAAATATTCCCCCTCCTTTTACACATCTTGACCGTTGACCCTTGACCCCCAAATTTGTCATCCTGAGTCCTTTTCACGATCCCACCCCGACGTCCCGAATATCGTGACCGTACGTCGAGCGGTTAAGATTTGTGCCCAACTGTTGACGCTCGGACGGACGGACGGACGCACGATCATGCGATTCTACAAGCTGCATCTGATTACGTCAGATGAGCTAAAAACCTTATTACGCAATATAAACTCTGCTTCTATGATGCATTCGTATTACCTTCCGATGGCTTTTCGTCTGAAGTTTTATTGTCTTGAGTGCTGCCTGCAGGCACTCCTCTATAAAACTTGGACGTGAGAGAAGTAACTGCCCAACCTGCCCAGCTGGCTGCCTGTCTAGCCGTGGATGGCACAGCTCCTGAATTCACGTCTGATTCTGTCAAGTTGGAGCAAAACAATTTACACATGTTCACTGTTCCTAGTGATTATCATCCCCTTCTTCATCATTAACCAGCGCATGGTAAATATCATAACAGGTAGATAGATTCCTTTAAAATAATTAATGTGTTTCTTACAGCTCTATACTAAGGCGGCAATGCATTAGAGATATAGGTAATACTTTGACATAAAGGCTGTTTTGTCTTCTGCATTATACTCGAGAAATATGAACCTCTACAGCTTAGCCCTACCCTAGCTGCCCTCTTAATAAATAACCAAGGCTAGATATTTCCACAGTGATAGATTCTTACCAAGTTCTGGTATTAGGTCAGGATTCTCATGAGCTTTCTGCAGTTTTCCAATAAAACCTTGCATAGCTTTAAATGCCTGTAATGATTGTAATATTAAAACACATATTGGAATGTCTTTATTTGCACTACTATGTAACGATTAATAAGACGATACGAAAATAACATCAAGATAAAGAAAGATTAATGAGATAGGATATGGAGGCTCATCATTAATTCGTCTTACTACGGATAAGCTATTAGGTCTCCGTTGGCAATAAAATTCCATGTAATGCACATGTGAAATTATTCAGTTTAAATTCTACATGAGCAAATGAATAATTGCAATAATATAAAGTAGCACCTGTTCTCGCACGCCCTTATCAGGGTCAACAGTGAGAGCTGCAAGACTAGGAAGGACTCGGAGGGCGCAGTCGTGTATTGTGTAGTAATTCTGCGTGGAAACCATGGCCAGGACGCCAGCTGTGCGAGCAGGTGGAAATGGGTCCTTCATGGCTCTGGTGAATGCTGATAGCAGCACTCTCTGCCTCGTCTGCATATCACCGCAAACATATTTTACATTTATTAGTAAGTAAATTGCCTGGCTACCAACTATCACTAGTGAAACACTGTAGTTGTAAAAATTCAAAGATTTCAAAATATTTGAACACCTTTCTACTACAGTACATCACATGTTAATACAAGGAGGGGGATAGTTTTGATACTATCAACAATCACTTAGCTGACTAACAGGATCATAGAAATTGGCTATGAAGTGATAAGAACTGGATCCGCTAATGGAAATTACAATTATTTTAATTAATAACCAAGAAACTAAAGGACTGTGTATGCAGTGATTAGTAACAGTATATGATATTCGCAGCACTGGCTATAATGTCTGATTTTTAATTTCTTTAACACTTAATACAGGAGGTTTCTTAATACGCGGCATGTTGCAAGAAAAATCACCTCTGCTTAACCGGTTGAATGATGCAGTCAAATGCATAATAAAAAATAATTAATAACGAAGTTGTCATAATTAAGACGGTTCCCATGACATATATCATAGAAGGCTTATGACTTACTAACGGGTGTAGGTGACCGGCAATTTTGCCGAGACACACTGTTGTGTTCGTACGGATTCCTCCCTGTTCGTCTTTCGACTGTAGTCGCGCAAAGTGTTTCATCAGCTCCACATTCAGGTTATTGTAGTTGAGCTTGGGTGCCATGAGCAACATAGACTGTAATACACGAAACCATATGTGAAATGAAGAATAACATGTAATGGAAGATGTGCACAGGAATACTTTAAGTTTTACGTGCAATGTACAGGTAGGCAGCATGAATAACACACCAATAAATCATGGGTTACGTTAGAGAAGGGGTTTTAGCACAATATATGCGAACACTAGATATGCGAGTACTTTAAAAGATACTGTTTATGTTTACATAGATATGTGTATGTAATATGTTATAATATTGCGTATAATTTAAATGTGCCTATGTGTCTACATGCTTACATTACTCACATCCATAAATAAGACATGAGCACATAGAACAAATAATACTTGCGAATACATACTGATTTTCAGAATTTTAGCTACACTTTTACAGGAAATGACCATCATCTAAAACCGTTAGAATGCTGCAATAGAAAGAAGCACCTTGACTGTGTGTTCACGCAGCGCTGGATTCGTATCCATGAAGCCGTTGGCTATATTAAGGAAGATCTGATCGTTTACTATAGATGGCTGGAGGTGCTCAACAAAGCAATCAATCTGAAATCGCAAATCAAAACACAACGTAGACGACATGAAACTACAGAGTTCACTTCACCGTTATATGCTGTCAGTTTCACATGCTTTAGCAAATCATGAACTTTTCACGTACCTTCTGCAGCAGGCCTACCCTAGTGGCACGATCTGTTGAGGAAAACAGCTTAATCACACAGGGTACAATTTTCTTCTGGTAGTCTTCAGCATCTAGAAGCTTCCCTAGCTGAAAATAAATATAGTAGCAAATAAAATCATTATAAGATCAAATTAAAACCAGGATAGATATTAATTATTATACATTACACGAAATTTGGTAGCAAATTAAACCTTGTAGACAGGTGGAATATCACAGTACATGTTTGAGAGGAAAGCTGATATGAAGTGATATGAGCTTGTTGTTATTCCCATCACAAAAATCTACTGAGAACAAGAAGAATTCCCATATTATTATCCCAATAGATATCATGTCAGGTAATAACAGGTTAACAAGGCACTAGGTACCTTGAACATCGGTGTTAGCACAGCCGCACCGGCATTTCCAAACTCATACGCGTTGAGAAGTTGTGGCAGAATGCAGTATCGGCAAGCATCCTGTGGGAAGCTATGCAGGGAGTCAGTGAGCTTACCAAAGAACTTTGATTTTTCACCTGCTTCCTTGATCTGTAGGCAAAAGTGCAAATGAATGTGACTAAGTTACACCCATTTATAATTTAAGATAAGCATATAAACATAGTACAATAGGGAGCTACAAAAGCTCCAACAGCCAGACAGACACACAGGCAGACATACATGACGACAGAACGACAATCACAAAAACAAGATCATGTACAGGTAATGCTGGCAGGTTTCTGTGCAATAGATTTATGTTATGCGACTCATATCTTATGTTAAATCAATAAACAATAGGGACTATAGGCCATAATAAAATTATTGTTTGTTTGCCCTCACCCGACCGACCCGCCAAAAAGAGGCCGACTCAAAAGATCTTTTTTTAAACAAATTGTATCACTGTACATTATATAAATCTGTAGGCAATACATTATATGTATCAAGCAAAACAAACATTCAACATAAAAGGTATTTTCACACAAGCACACCCGAGCATGTAGACACCATGCTGAATTTGTAAAAAGACTCCCGCCCTACAAAAAAGCCGCCCTAACTACCCGAACTTTTCAGCCTGGGTCGGGTGAGGGCAAACAAAGATTTTTTAAATTGTGGCCCTATCACAGACAATATACATATCTCTGATATTCATCAATTCAACATGCCAGTATAACCACCCAGTAGCAAATCTACTACTGTAATTATTCATGAACTTTACCAATTCCCACTATAGTTGACGACAGACAACTATTCATCATGATAGAGAAGATAAATGCAAACCGCATCATATTTCACAACTGAGGTAATGAACTTTAGTAATAGTTATACCTGCATCTCCTCTAG